TGCAATTGACAATCTACTTCAAAATCCTTTAAGACATCAATCTCTCATGTTTCATTGGAATCAGACCATGACATTCATGACTTTCAGCGGTTTTAGTCAATTACACTCTGATGCAAATGTCTATATATTTTTATTGATAAATACTGAGGTTCAGATTCTTGCAGATAATGTGACACCATTGTGATTACTGTATGAAAAACCTAGGACTAGTTACTTGAAAAAAAAAATCCAGATGTGTCTTTTTTGATTATTTTTTCTCTGGTATGAGCCAAAGAATCAGCAGAACCCAGAATGATGCCTGTATCCCTTATCAGGAGGGCTGGGCTGAAATGTAAAACACTGGGCTGTAGAGCATCCTTCAGGCCTTTTCAGGCATATCTAGTCTGCCTCAGTAGAGGGAGAGAGTACAACCTATTAACCAAACTTCATGTCTGTACGACTTACAGTTTAGTCTCCATGATCTGTTTTAGTGGAGAAAAATACTTGATGAGAATCTCCGCAAAAATAATAGCAATCCAGTACCTGCAGAGGTAAGACACCTAACTACACTTTCACTGGCCACTTTATTAAAAACCTCTCCCTTGTGGTAGCTCCACCTTTCTGGTGTGCAGTTAGAGACTGTAGCCCATCTATTGATATATAAGTTGTACAATTTCTACACACCAGCTTACAATTGTCCACCTTTATGACTGATTTATCATTTGATTCATGACTGAAATGTTCTTTTGAGAATCAATCCACACACAAAAATACTGATACTACATTCTTTTAGCATCAATTTTTAACATTTGTTATAGCAACAACTCTTAAAGCTCATGTAACTGAAATACATTTAATTGTTGTTGCATTAAAACTGTGGGCTCCTTTTTTTAATGGTAATTTATAGCATATTTTTGTTAGTATTTTTTACTAAATAGGTGAACAGCGTACTTGTATTTATTGCTAGAAAATCTGTGCTATCGCCCGTCCCTACTAACCACTATCATTACCTTTCATCTAACAGTCTGTCACTCCCTCTTAACCTCTCTTCCTGTCCTCATCTCTCATCCTGCCTTCAATTCTCAATTTCTACACTCCTATATCTGTCCCCTTAGGTCTTCCTTTCTCTCTCTCTCTCCATCTACTATTTTATTCATTGAGTTCAATCTTCTCATTTCCTTCTTATCTCTATCTGCCATAGGCCTCTTTTATTCCTTCATTTTCTCTCCCTTCATCCTCAATCTTTACTCTCACTCTTTTACTGCCTACCTCATCAAGCTTCAAGGAGTTGTGCATATGTATGTGTGTGTGTATGTGTGTGGGTTTGAATATATGTAGAGGAACACACAGTATTGTGCAAAAGTCAGAGACTCATCATCATCATCATCATCATCATCTTCTTTATCTGCTTAGTCCAGATAGTGTTGAGGTTCATGGAAGCCTATCCCAGTGGAAGAGACTAACCTTTCTTAGATTTAATTTCCAATCAAAAAAGCCATTAAATAAAGTTTACAATAAAACAGCAGTTTCCAAACTGAAGTTTGAGAAAAGTATTATTTTTATATGTATAAAAGTTATTATTACTATTTGTCGTTTGTCATTTTTTGTGTCAATATTTGTTACTTTATACACTTTATCTCTTTCAATTGTTTTAACCCACTTTGGGCCTAAAGTGTGCAGATTAGGATGTCCCAATACAGTTCTTTTGTCCCAAGTCCTTTATTGTTGAGTATTAGCCGATACTGAGCTAATCTCATGTTTGCGTTTCCATAGTTAATACAACCATGTGATTCAGGTAAATTGATCACCATATATTACCATTAGATTGCCAATTAAAACTGCAGAAAAATTGGTGTTGTATTTTCAGTATGTGAACAATAAGAATATGGGTAACACTTTATTTGGAGTGGTCCTTTGTAGATGATTAATAAACTGTTAGATTATCAATAACACATCAATAACATATCAGTGAAGTAACAGTAGTGAAGCATCTGAATACATTGAAGTGAATATCTTGTAGATGTACTGTTGATACATTACTTACAATAAGTAGATGTATCGTTAATATGTTACTTCCATTACGCAAAACCTAAACTTACCCAACCTTACCCAACCCTAACCCTACCCCTGGCCCTAATCTTAACCTTAACCTTAACCTCAACCCAAAACCTAATCCTAAACCTCATAAGTTTTTGTAATGTTACTGAGAGTCTGTTGAATGTTTGTTTCATCTAAAAATGACCACTCAAAATATGAAGTGTATAACACTTTGGTTTCATACTGGTTTAATGCATGCACAGTAGCTGCTCCCTCCACTGGTTTTGCAAGGCTGGTTTAAAACCAGAAGCAGAGCAGGTAGCAGAAAGTTTCTGCTATAGTGTCATTTTTGGCTTGTCATGACTCACAAGTGAAAAATGCAGAGTAAGTGTATTTGGTACAGCCTTCTGGTGGCATAATGGGCAAAAAGTAGACTTGAAGTGTAATAGCCGCTGTCTCACATTTTCCATGCCAGGGTTTAGATGAAATATGGCTCAAGGCCTTATAAGTTTTCATTATCCACAGTAAGCTATTTCCACACTGCAGACAATTGGATTTCTTTGTTAACTTACAAAAACACACCTCACTTCTACATGTTGTGGATAAAGCCCATTTACACCATCTCTACGACAGTAACAAAGGATTGGGCTAAAAATCGACAATAAACACTCCATTAAAATATGACCTTCCTGATTCTTAAGAGCCGGTTGGGACATTCCTACTTTCAACATATGCTTTTTAACAACAGTTTGGAAAAGAAAACTAAATCATTATTTAGACAAAATCTGTTCTTCACATCATAGGAGATACTTTGATGAACATGAAGCTGAAACTAAACATACTAAAAGGATTCGATGGCTGTTTCATGTTCACCAAACCTTTTGTGGGGATTTTTTCTTACCTAAATGGAAGGTAACAGTGAAACATATTACTCAAAAATTGATAACATAAATTTGTGAGGTTGTTGTAGTACAAAAAACATATTCTGAATATATGAGCTCCATGTAATATTAATAGTGCTAATTTTCATGTGTAAATACAGCCGTATGCAAAAGTTCATACTACGTTTTATTGATTTTTTAAGTGCATCCCTTTACAGAGAGCACATATCTGCACTTTTTACAGCACAATTACTGTTTATTTGCTGAATAAATGTTATGGCGCATGTTATTTTATGTTTTATTATTTCCAATATTTTAAAATCAGCAAATAAATAGAAGTTGTGCAGTAAAAATTGCATAAAATGCCAAATTTAGGTTTGTCCTCTGTAGAGCATGTGTTATTGTCACTTATGTAAAATATGTAATTTGACCAGGGGGAGATCTGTATATGTGACTGTTAATGTGCACTAATGCATGCCTGGAGAGTTCACCTGTGTATACTGCTCTATGTATACGCTCACGTCCGTGCCCATGTGTGTGTGTGTGTGTGTGTTACTGTATGCTTTATTATGGGCGTGAGTGTGTGCAGATGGGTCTCTCAGGGGCTTGTGTGTGTTCCTGCAGCGTGATCCATCCGGTGTTAATGAACTCATCATTAAACTCTCATTAAAACCTGAGGGGGCACGGAGGAGTGTAGAGAGGAAGATGAACGACAAGAGGAAGGATGAATGACAAGCGAAGTGTGTGCGTATGTGTGAGCGTGTCTCTAGCTGTCCTCCAGACGGACTGTGGGCTTCCTATCAGCAGGTTTTGGCTTTGGTTTGAGTTAATTATATCTTAATTAGAGGCAGCACTTTGTTAAGCCACTTCCTTTAATTCAGCAGGCGGGCAGCAGGGATTTTCTCATAAGCCGCATTAATTATGCTTACGTTACTGACCAGCGCGTATTAATTACTCTTGCATTACTGACCACAGGTCAAAAGGTTCCAGAGGTCATGACCTTTAGCATTCAGATGTGTTGGCCATCAATAAGTCATCAAAAAACAGCAAAGCCCAAAAGAATTCAATCTCCAGTACTGTATATATTTTTTTTACTGTCCTCTGTGTAGAGCTTGGTATGTCCAACTAGCTCTTAGGATACATAGATAGAGTGTAATTTTTTCATGGAGTATAGGTTTTCAGGGGTAAACATCTGGATTGTAAGAAAATGTTTCATTGACTTCAACTGTTTTACCATTGCTAGCTAGCTAGTTTAGGCTTTGTACACGCAGGAGGGTGAATCAGATATTTTTTATCTGATTTTTAGACTAAATGTCCAAATCCTATTTGTATGGTCAGACTGTAGTCACATTTGCTAACTTATCTGCATTGGTTGCCATGGTAATGATGCATGCAGGGAAGGCATTTAGCTAATTGATTAAGTTTTGGCTATTCGACTACAACGGTCCCACTTTGTATTATGTGTTTCTAATAACTATGTAGTTACACATTAACAATACATGCAACAACAGTCTAACTACTGGTGATGTATTCACTGTTACAGATGCATTACAGAAGTACAGTTTGTGGAATAACACATGTGTATCCAGTTCAATTTTTATTTATGTAATTTCACAAGATTCACAGTTTTGGTAGTTGAACCAGCATATTTTCTCTTATGTAATTACACGTGTTACAAGGTGAGTAGCTGTTTTTCCAAGAAGACTTTAATTATATAACATATAAAGCGAAAAATTTACCTGAATGTCTGTAACAAGTCTCCACAGTTATCCACAGTTGAGCTATCATATGTTAATGGGCACCACCGCTAGCTTGATGCCGACGTTACATGGCAATTGGGGCACTAGCAGAAAGTAGCATTATCACAGCAGTAGTAATGGGAGTGTTACTTAATATCTAATTTGCATTAAATTTGAAACTAGATATAAACTGCTTGAAAGTGATTAGACAGTCAGACTTGATGTGGCTTTAAGTCATTCTTTAAGTCACTGTAGAAAATCAATCAGAAGCACAGGGCAATTCATTTGTTTAAGGGTACCGAAGCACAGCAGTTGTGTGCATGTGTGTGTGTGTGTGGTGGGGGGGGGGGGTGTTTACGCTCACCATTGTTGGTCCGCATTGACCGACCAGTGATGCCATTGGATCCAATTGGATGAAGCCCTCCCCCTCTGTCCACACCCCCTACCTCCCCAGGCTGCTTCAACAGCTCTGTCAAGGTCCTAAAGAGAGAGGATTTACACAGAGTCAACACTGCTTACTGTAGAAATTCTAATCACCATTAGCACTTTTCACAGTAAAGGTCTAGAACCAACAACAGTACTTCTTCTTGTAAAAAGATCTTTTTTTTGTCCGAACCCAGGCTTTGTGACCTCACCAATACTGCCTTAATGTAATTCTAATTGATCAGTGCTGCTTAATGTAAAGATTTATAACAATACAGCACTGCATACTGTAAATACTGTTAATCCATATTAACACTGTTAACAGTAAAAAAACTGTATACTCTTTACTGTAAAAAAAATCCAATCAACATTACCACTGCTCACTGTGAAGACTGATAATCAACAATACTATATAGAGTAAAAACCTACACACATTAGCACTGCTTGCTGTAAAGATTTACACAGTAGCAATGCTCTTCTGTAAAGATTTACATACATCCATTACCATTGCTTACTTTAAAGATTCAATTACTTAATCACACATTAGCACTGCTTAATGTAAACATTTACACATATCAACACTGCTTACTGTAAAGATTTACAGACTGTCAGCACAGTTTACTTTAAAATTTTGCACTCACATACAGCAGTGTTTACTGTACATATATATATATATATATATATATATATATATATATATACTCTCAAAATAGATATATTAAGAATAATACATATTGTTTTTTTAACCCATGTTCAGTTAAGAACAACACATTTTCTGTTACTTTAAAGAGCAAATGTTTTATCGTAACTGGCAGTGTCATTTTCAATACACAAAGGTGTTCTTATTACACTTGGCTGTGGCAAAGATAAGCTATGATTTTGTTGTCTTACATTTACAGCATTTAGACAATGCTCTTATCCAGAGCAACTTTGTTGTCTACTCAGAGAATGTGTAGTAGCTAGTACAAATAGGTTCCCAACTGCCCTTGACATAAGGCACTGCCAGAAACAAGAGTGCTGATACAAATACATTTCCAGTGCTAGATTAGTGTTCATTTAAATGCATCAAGAAAAGATGGTGCTTCAGTCAGCATTTGAGGACTGCAAGGGACTTGTGGTCCATTGCAGTCTTCAATTCATTCCACCTCCTGGGTGCAAAGACAGAGAAAAGGCTTGATGCCTTTCTTCCATGCATCTGAAGGATGGTGGTTCAAGCCGAGCTGTACTTGAAGCTTGATGGGCTTGAGGCATGGATTGAGCTTTGAATTTGACCTTTGCCATCAGGTAGGGAAGGGCTGGTCCATTTTTAGCTTTGTAGGCGAGCCAGTGAAGGGAATGCAGCAGCAGAATGACATGAGTGAACTTCAAGCTAAGCCATCATGCTACAATCAGTTGCAGTAGTCAAACCCTGACATGACATTGAGCGAGAACCACAAAACCTGTTTGACCAAGTCAGGTTTGCAACATGAGCACGTTCAACTGCTGCTTATGGTAAGGACTCGGACACAATACACCCTACTATTACCATTTTGGTGGTAACTGTAAAGATTTACACATATTAAGCATTTACTGTAAACAAAATTGCACATTGGCAAGCTTACTGTAAAATGTAAAGTTTAGCACTGCCTACTGTAAATATTTTCAAACATCATCAGTAACACTTGCGAATCCTAAAGCTTTGCATTAATAAAACATCATCTGTGGTGGATAGCTGAGCCAATGCAACACTGGCACCGTGTATGATCTGATTCTTTACTTCCTTTCTTCTGTCTTTCTTTTTTGTTCTTTATTCTCTCTTTCTTTCTTCTATTTCTCCTCTGCATTCTTTATCTTGGTGCTTTCCAATCGTATTGGCTTTCTCCTTTTTGTTGCTGGGGGATGCGTTTATGAGATCTTTGTGAGTTTTCTTTTTCATGCTTTGGCTTTGTTTACTTTCCGTTGATCTCTTGTGTCCAATCTGTCAGCCTCTCCATGGCAACGCTAGCCTCCCTCCCAAGCTGCTGTCACTCTGATCCTTCATAAAGCCTCAGGACCACATCATCCCTCATTTCCCAACACTGCAGCAACGTCCCACTGACATTTCACCCCTCCACCCCTCAGGCCCCATCTATCAGTTTTTTAATGTCACATCTCATAACTAAATTACCTACCAAGCTTACGTAATGTATCACAACTAGCACAGGAAAAAAAATATAGGAAAAAAGGTTGCACAGGAAAAAACTTTAATTGGTATAGAAGCTTTAGAATGATGATTCTGTGAAGAACAATCCGTTGAAAAGTTCTTTATGGAACTAGAAGTGTTTTTTTCTATGGCATTACTCCAAAGAACCTTATTTGTGAAGCTTGAGTGTAGATGTGCTCTGGCATATATTCTATTAAAAAGAAACAGAATGCATATAACGGCAATACGTAAGTACAAAAAGAAGTGTACTGTATTCCATTTCAGGGAATTTACAGAAAGAAAAAAGAAATGAGACAAAAATAGGATGGTTACTAGCAGGATTACATTCAAACCACTCCTACATAGCACTTCTGATTTTCGTTCTCCGTGGCCTAAACCTTCAGCCTTTCCTGATCCAATTATCACCACTAAGATAGTGCCCAGTGGCGTAGGCAATGAATAAATTACTGGGTAGGAATGTGAAAAAAGTGCATACACCACCTTGGTAGATACAATATGCAAACACTATAATATCCCACAATGTCATTACATCAGGCTTTAGCATATTCCTGACAGCAATGCAGTCATCACCGTACATATTCCAATGGTGATAAACAATAGCAATCAACCAGAAAACTGGATTCACATAAATACAACCAACACTGTAACATCCTTTAAAGCATGCATCCTCTCACCACAGGCACATTTGCCCAATATGATGAGTTATCACAGAACTGAGAAGTACAAAGATGAGGAAAAGCAACACAGCAAACTACAAAACCTAAATTTAATCCTCCTAGGCTAAAGAATATTGGCACAGTGAGTGGACTCAAAGAAGACAATATGACTGAGATACAATCAGAGAGCTGAAACGTGCAAACAAGTAAAACAACAGAGCAAACTTAAAATCTAAACCTTAAAATCTAAACCTTTCCTAAACCTTATTATCATAGGCAAAGCATACTGGCAAGTTAGACATAAACAATGTTTATGGTGCATTTATGTCTTACCTGTGATGACTCGATACACTGAAGCAACTTTAGGTACTTCCTTTGACATTTTTATGTCAAGTTCATGACAATTTTTGTAGTAAAAGAGTACTGCAAGTACCAAATTCGCAAAAAACTGATGATGACATTGTTTTGAATTTATTTTTGGCTTTGAAAGGGGAAAAAACAAAATACTCTACAGGATGGAATGTCACCTTCAAACATCTTCAGCTACAGCTGGAGCTTCAGATTCAAATACTTGCATGTTGATAATGAACTGAATGCTTGAGACAATGGCAGATAGCAATGGTAGTTAATTAGTGTTGGAGGGCTTAGAAAGAAGGCAAAGATTGGCAGAGAGCATAATATTTGATTGGCCATAACACAGTAAGGTCAGCGATGGAAATGATAGGCCAAAGATCAATCTGGGTGGGCCCAGGTCTACATACACATGGAAATACACATAAAGTGCACACAATTATATGTCACCTATATCATTTTGTTTCATAAAACAGTGCAGTTTTCCTGCTTGTTTTGTATTCTATCTAAATTACGTTGCTAAATCACTGTTGTTCTCTTGTCTGTATTTGATTATGTGACCTTAAAAGGTAACCCCAAAGTAATTTGATGGTTTAATTCATCAAATTATCAGTAATCTTTACAGGAATACATTTTAAAGTAATTTTTCAACCCTGTGCTCAGTTCACTCTGACTACTTCTTGAGAAAGAATGTTGGTCAATAGAAAAAATATCAACAAAATGACCTGTGTAGATTGGCTTGGTTAGATCACTGTGTCCTTTACACTTAGACAATACACACCTTAGACAATACACATTTATGGATTTGTCATAGAATTATATTTAGAATCAGTCAATCATTTGTCATTAGTGTAGCAGCCCATATTACCACAACACAACAGGGTTATAATCTCTTTGGAAGTCTATAGTCCTTCCACTCTGTCAATCTAGCATTCAGTTCTGCAACATGTTTTCTGTCATTTGTATCTCTGTTAATGAACTGTCAATAGCTATAAAAATGGCAAATTACTTATTTTGAAATCTCAGATTGTATATATTGGGAAATTTAAATTAAAATATAGGGTACACATTCTGAAAACATGGAAGAATATTTGTGACCTGAAAAAAGAAAATAAAGACTCAAAGTGAAGATCAAGGAGGAGAAAAGAATGTTTTCAACGAATTGGATGGTTAAAAGACCCAGAGAAAATGAGTCAAACCTTGAAGATGAGGAATATTATTATGATAGGTATAAAGTAGAGTTTATTTTGCCTTCTGGAACATCAAGGTAGTAGCCAGCTGACCAGCATTTTGTAGCTATAGGCTAGCTAATGCTAGGTTCTTCTGCAACACAGTGTAGTTCAAATGATTTTTGAATAAGGACCCTTGCAGCAAGTAGTATAATGCAGGTTTAAGGGCTAATGAGCTAATGAGGCTAATGAGCTAATGAGTACTCCAGAACTAGGAACCACTGTTTCATGCTACCACAGTCTTTTCCTCTCTGCTTCTGCAGCTCTAGAATCAGGCCAGGATGAATCCCTGAGATATGCATTCCCAAGCAATGTTTGCCAAGAGCATTGGACTGAGGCATGCTATAAGGGTCTGTTTGTTCTACGATAAGACCCAAAAGAACCAAAGTTACTGCCAAGCTCTCTGAATGACTGAAGTTTTGCCCTAACACTCAGCTCTCGTTCTCATCTCTCTTTCTTCTTTCCATCTGCCAACTGGCATCAGAGAATGTGCTCAACAAACTTTAACAAACTGCCAAACCCTCCCGCCAGTCAGATCAAACATGGTCTCACTGGACAAAGGGACTGAAGATTGGACTTGGGTTGAGTGGGGATTGGATGTGATGCCCAGCCTGCTTTCAAACGGCAATCTGAATCATT